CCCCGCTGCTAGCTAGCAAATGGGTCTACATAAAAGTGAGGTCCCCTCCACACAACACCCCTCCCGGCCCCGGGGCGGAGGGGGGGGGAATTCTGGGAGTTGAACTCCACTCATCTTAAAGTGGCCAAGTTTGGACAACACTGCCCTAGTAGCTTAGGGCCCCAAAGGATGCTGGGAAAATCTTGCACAGAAGCCTGGACCGGAGATGCTCTGCTGGCAAAGGGGAGAGGTTGGTGGGCTAACTGAAAGGTTGGGGGAGTGCAAGTCCTGAATTGCCACACTGATCATGGGCAAGCGAAGGAGATCAGGAATCTCCAACTTAGACATGACACACACAAACTTTACCTACTTACTTATTTTCTCCTTTAGCAAAAGAAGCGGAAAGCACAGCCACAGGACAGCCGAGCTGGAGCCAAGAAGTACAAGGAATTCAAGTTCTGAAATGCCTCCTCCCTTCCCCTCTGTTTTTTTAAAACACCTATCCCATCTCCCTGCTGCCTACCTAAAACTTCCCCTCTGTTTTTTTGCGTCTTTGTGGTTGGAGTTCGGGTGTGGAATTATTTTGTAAATAAAAGTCAGAGACTCTGGAGACCTTGTTTTCCCAGTTTGGGGATGGGTGCCAAAAGGAAAGACCCTCTTGAGTTAAGCACAGCTCCAGCATGATTTCACGGACACATTCATGGAATTTTTCACTGAATTTTCTTTGCAACAATCCAAGTCATTTGTCATTGGCTTTGGGGATTTTTCTCACATGTGCTTACTTTATAGCACCTAAGCGTGCTTTCCCGGATGGTCTCTCATCCCACCAGCTCCACCGCTGCTTACCTTCTTCCAGATCATCTCGAGCTGCCATTAACTATAGACGTTTCTTTTGGGGAGGGGGAATCGTATTTCCCTTACTTTCTGCTCCCTCCCCTTTTTGCAAAAGCCTTGCAGGGTGCTATGCACAGCTGTTCTTGTGAAAGCTGTAGTAAGAAAGACCATCTGTCTGGATTAACACACACTCGGCAGCGTGTATTGCTCCCATACCTTCTTTAAGCACCCCCTCCTCTGAAGGGAAGCAGATGGATGGGGGGGCAGAAAATTGGGCCTTTCCTCAAATTCCTGCCTGTCACGTATCCTTAGCCAGAGCAACGAGCCAGTTTGGTGTAATGGTGAAGATGCTGGATGAGATCCTGGGAGACCACAAATTGTAGACCTCACTTAGGTACAAAGCTCACTGGGCGACTTGGGGCCTGTCGCTTTCTCTCCCCCAACCCACCTCACAGGGTTGTTGTGGGCAAAATAAGAGGGAGTATTATCTATGCCACCTTTCTTTTGCTATGAGAATTGCCACTCTTCAAAAGTTTTAAGTCTGCTACCCTGGTCTGCCAGAATTAGCCATCTTTGGTACACATGATGGTGATTATGATGATTTTATCTTATATATATCATACATACATACATACATACATACATACATACATACATACATACAGGAACTCAATATATAGAGAGGACTGCAATTTATTTAGAGAGGAACTCAAGGCAGTATTCCCAAGACGTGCAACAGATGTTCACACATTGTTAAGGCAGGATAGAAAAGGGTTGGGGGTTTGTTCCATTTAATTCTAGGGCTTCCAAGTTTGCCCTGGGGTTAATTTTCCCTTTTTCTCGCCATATGGACATGGTTCAAACATATACCAGCACAGATATCTATGTATAGATGTGTGTGTGTGTGTATCATATATATCATACATACATGATTACATTTTTATTTTTTAGCCAAACTTAAAATGTTAAGGAATCTAAAAGTCCTTGCTTTTCCTTTTCTTTACCGCCGATACAAAATCTGAGTTGCGCCCATCTGAAAACAACAGGTCGAAAGTAGAACTCTCGTTTTGCCTTCATCGGTATTCATAGGCACTCTCCCGTGATTGTGATGTCTCAGGATTTGTTCGAAAAACAAAGAGGCTGTAAAATATTTCATACTATAAAAACGCTAGGAAAATCTGAGGGCAGCAAGCTCACTTTGCATGTTTGCGTGACCCAAACTAGCCAGTCGGGTTAAGCCTAGCATTTGTGCAGACCTAGCCCAAGTCACTTCAGGGTGTGTGTGAACCCAGTCATCGTGTGAAAATGGGGTTCATTCAGAAAAACCATGGTTTAAGGTCACTCTGCCTTCCAAACCTAGCCACTCTCCCATTTGCACTGGATGTTGAACCAAAACGTGACTTCTGGTTTTTCACAACAGGCTTAAGCTAAATAAATAAATAAAGCAAAACTGGCTCCATGTCACGCCAACAGCCAATGGCTTATTTTTTAAAACCATGGTTAAACCAATCATGGCTTAGCCCAGTGCAGAAAGCCAGCCAAAATAACCAAGTTCACACTTTGCACTGTAAAGAGCAAATATTTAAAAGTGGGACAGAAATCTAATAATAATAATTTGCAATCCACAAGGGTTGGGTGAATACGGTGATTGGTAGCAATAAAGTAATAACTCCTTGTCATGCGCAGTTCCTGGGGCTTCTTCAAGACTCCATGACATTTTGTTCAACGGCAGCATGGAAGTGGTTGGCCACCACCTCCCCAGTCTGATCTTGGCATTTCCTGGTGGTCTCCCATCCACGGACTAACTTGGTTCTATCCTGCTTCACTTTCTGGTCCCTAAGGTAATGGCTAACTCCATGTTGATTTTTCAAGGTTTCCTTCTCTAAGATCCTTCTGGGGTAGGAAACGATGAAAAATGAATGTGGAGATAGCCTTTACAGTTTCAAGAGATGCTTGAAACCCCTAGATATAAACACAACACCCACTAGAACAGTGTTTCTCAACCTTGGCAACTTTAAGAAGTCTGGACTTCAACACCCAGAATTCCAGACTTCTTCCCAATTCTGGGAGTTGAAGTCCACCTGTCTTAAAGTTGCCAAGGTTGAGAAACACTGCACTTGAAGCACAATTTGCCTGCGCTAAATGAGTTTCGAGCTGGGGGCCCCACAATGACTTTCCCCCTTCTCTGTTTCCACCCCCTTGCACAAGGCTTCTACACACACATGCACACACAGACACACACTCACAGCTCTCAGGCCAGCACACAGGATCTTCCAAGCTGTTCTTCCAAGTCTGTTGGTATTTCTCTGGAGACCTTGTTACAATCGGTCCTTTGTGTTCCTTACTTCTCACTATTCTGGAAAAGGGGGGGAGGTAGGATGGGGAGGATATAAGGCTGGGGGGCGAGGATTAAAAGCACAAAGAAGGATGTCTCCAGTTCCAGCATGTGTCGGCAGGCCAACCAATGGTGCTTTATGATGGCTAGCAGCTGGAACAGGAGAGCAGGAAGGCAGACAGATGCTTTTCTCTGAAAGATTTTCCCATCTGTGGATGGTGGGGGGGACGGTGGGGGCAGAAAAGACCCATCCCAGATCCCTCTAGGGCGGTATTTCTCAAAGTGTGATCCCAGGAGCCCCGGGGGTTCCCCAAGACCCTCTCAGGGGTCTGCGAAATCGAAACGATTTGCCCACCTCTGTTGAAGAATGATCCCATATTAAAATCCCATCCCACAGTCGTGAGAAACAGCAATGGCAGCAAATGCATTTTAATTTTCAATACGGTACCTATTGATAAATATATCCCATACAAACAAAAGCTCTTTTGGGGTCCTCCGTAATTTTTAAAAGTGGGAAGGGGTCCCAAGAGAAAAAGGTTCAAGGGACAACTGCTCTAGGGTTGGGTTTGCCTTTCACGTGGCATGCCACGCCAACCCACCCTTCGTGGTTTGCAACTGGCAGACTGTATCGGCACAATTTATTTATTTTTTATTTCTTTACTCAATTTGCATCGCCACCCCTCTCACATCATTAGAAACAATCACATAACCGATAAACGAAATACAGAAATCAAGAGACGCAATAACCCCCTTTAAAATCAAATGAAGCCCCCCATTAAAAGACAAAGTTCAAATCAAAATAAAACAATTGCCAAGACACAATCTTCAAACTATGGCCAAGCTAACCCCAGTTTAGCAGGATGGGTTACACAAGCCTGCAGGTAAGCTGGTTTCATTCTTCTTTACAGCCAGATGTTTACTAAGCCTCTGTCTCCGCATGTGCACACAACTGGCTGGGTGCACATGGGGACAGTTTGGGTGTACTTAACCATGGTTTGCTGAACAAGTCATAACCACCTAGATTCAGACAAAACATGAAGCCATCAAACATAGCTTCCAAACCACGTTTGCTCAAGTCACACAATGCATTAACCTACTAAAGCTGGCTTCACACCAAGGCTGAGTGTCGCTCAGTGTATCATAGTTAGCAACACAGTTAACCATCTATGAGGTTAATGTATAGTTCAGAGTGTTGGGTGAACTAGGTGATATTTCAGAAAACATGGCTCACTTCATCATGGCCAGCTCATGCTGACACAACAAAAGCAAATCATCGGTTAGCCTAACGTGCTTTGTAAACTCAGATTCTGCATGCATCACGTGGCCAGCAGTGTCCACGTAACACGCTGAACCAGAACGAGCCAACCACGTCTCAGCTTTGTGTACTGTGTGAACCGAGCTTGAGGAGTTCGATGTTCTGGTGTGTCCTTCATCTGTGAAATCCTGTATAAGTTGAGCAAACACAGCAATGTAAAGAATGGAGATGATTCTGCGGTCTCTGCAAATGAAGTCTGGGGAGGGAGAAGGAATGACAATAAACTTTGGAAAAGGCGCCCAAATTCAGGCTTCAAAGCTTTTTTTTCACCACTGGAATTAAAAAAAAAATACGCGAGGTGTCAGCATGCCCACATATGGAGTTCCTGCTGGCAGCAGGGGAGACAGGGCTGTGCAAAGGTGGCCACTCAATGCAACATTCAAGGGCTTGGCCACTGAACTGCTCGCCTAGGGCGAGTAGGAATGGCAACCAGGCGATTCTTTTCCAATTTGCGACCGTCGGCTTAGCAGGAGCACCTCAGAGATCCAAGAGGGGTTGGAGCGAAGAAGAGGGATCCATTGCATTAATCTGTTCTCTTACGGAAAAGGGCAGGGAGCCTGGAGAGGGGGCGGCCATATAAATTGAACAGACAAATGAAGAAATAGAAGTGGTGAACTGGGCCTTCAGGAGAGAAGCAGGTCCGTTTTTAACCGGGGTTGCTGGAATTGGAACCCAGGACCTTCTTCCTGTAAAGGAGGGGACTCATCCACTGCGTTGAAAAGGGCTGTTCACGGGGCAGGAAGGCGACCCAGGTTTCAGAAAGGAAAGCAACCCCTTTTAATCACAATTAAACGCATTCGCACAAGACGTTTCACCGGGCTACCGAATCAACCCGTTTGGCCTGCGTCCGCACAACCCCCCGAAGCGGACACCTTTACCTACGAAGGACCCCCGGCCCGGGTTGCTCTTCCCCAGCTTCGCGCAG